TGTTTTCCCTTTCTTATTAGCATTGGCACAGATTGAAAAGTGAGACTTTCTGCAGCCATGGTTCCTGTTCTCTCCTATTTTGCCCAGTGTTTGGGTGCTACTTCAGAAACCTCCCTCCAATATGATTGTCCTAGTCTATGATTTGCTTGTTTAAAAACGTGTCTTTTGGCAGTGTATATTCAAAATGCCTGGAGTAAAGCAGGCTAGTGCCCCTTCTGTCAGGTGAGAACTCAGAGTTGTGAAGGCTGGAGCAAAGTCCTGTTAACTGTGACAAGATGCCTGATCAATCCTTTTGCATCCCACCAGGTTCTGCCCTTTCTACAAAACAGTGGGAATGCTTTCCAATATGATTGCATTCTATGACATGGCACGCCGTGCTGTAGAAACCACAGCCCAGAGTGACAATAAAATCACGTGGTCCATCATCCGAGAGAACATGAGCGAGATCCTCTACAGACTTACCTCCATGAAGTTCAAGGTATGTTTGGAAGGAACTGGGTTGTGCTGCTTTTTGTGAGCTTCCAGTGCCTCTGGAAGGCAAAGGTGGTCATCAGTTGCCTCACATAAAGGTCTGTGAACAGAGACTTTCTGAATGCCCTTAAGAACTGGTTTTAGTTTGTGAGCACAAGAATGGTCAGTACAGAAACCAGGCAGGTGATGCACGCTGCATAGCCTTGGCACTCCCATCTTGGAGAGCCTCTTCTATGTGACGTGTATCGTGGTACTAGTACAAGTACCTTTCCTGTTTATTTGGGGGATTTGTGATAAAATTTTGTGTAAAAAATCATAATATGTTCTAAGGAGAATTAGCAGATAAAAGCAGCCTCAAGTTTAAATCCAGGAATGTGCTAAAAAGTGTATGATAGAAATGCTGATGGCATACTCTTGAATGGAAGTTAAGGAAAGAAATGCCAGTCTGCAGCAATACATGATGTATGCTGTGTTTGGCTTCACGACTTAAGGCAGGTAACTAGGAGGAGGGGAAGGGAGAAGTGACTTCAATGTGAGCTGAAGGGAAAACAAGTGCCTTGGAGCACCTGCTCTGGGTAACTTCAGAAGCCATCTTCTTAGGGTACGGCTTTCCTAAAACTGATCCAGAGCATGCTGGTGTAGGAGCAGCTCCTGGTAGGACAGTAACCTGTGATGCTGACTAAACATGCCAAGAAACTGATGTTAAAGTAGCTAAGGAATAATCTCTGTGAAGAATAATGCTTACTCTGCTATAACTCTTGTAAGCCATCATTGCAAATCTTTCAAGTACCATAGGATAAAATTATGTTAAATTTAAGTGTTCTGGTGTGCCAATGGATTCTGTTCCTGGAGGTTTTTTATTTGGCTTGTTTCTGCAGTAAGCAGATCCCTGGTATATATTCTCAAAGCATCAAGAACACAACAAGATGCACATTATGGACATGAGTTTCTTTGAGGGCTGGTTGTATAGAGACAGGGGAAGTGACACACTTTTTACAAACCATGGCCACGAGAAGACGTCTGGCATACAACAGAATGGTGGACTGAAAAAGGGAAGCCAGGGGGAGAATGCATGTTAAGGGGAGCTGGCCCTCTAATACAGGAGTAGTTATGAAAGGAAAATTACATTCTTGGGTAACAGGCTAAAAGGCATGGGAATTTAAATACCCAGCATCCTGCAGTCTGTGTGTTTTGGAGAGACAACGAACGAGGATTGCATCTACGCATGTAGGTCCTCTGTGTTTCCCAAGAGCTGCATTGGCCCAGAGAAATGTAGTGCTGAGAGGGGAATGGTGAAGGTACTGAGCAGGTTTCAGAGCCTGGCAGTTACTGCTTCTCACAGGAAGGCCTTGCAGCCTCAGAGCAAAGCTGATTGTTAACGTTTTTGCCTTTGTCTTCCATGAAAAGTATTCTGAGAAAATGAAGCTGTGCAAAGAGGGGTTTGAGCTTCTGATTGCACAATAAGATTTTAATTGGAACCAAGTGACCTCCGAGTGATGGCAAAGTAGCTTCTTCACTCAGTAGGGGATGCACCCCAGAAAGTACAGCAGAGCATTTCTGAGTCACAGTGAGGCTTGTTCCGCTTGGTTTGGGGATAGGAGTTTGTACTAACCACTGCAGCTCTTCAGTCACACAGCATTAACCAAGACCCTCTGTATTACTGAATCCTCTCCAAATCAATTGCTTTGCAATAAGGTAACCACTGCTCATGAAAGAAAATCTCTGTCCAGGATCCATTCTGCCTGCTCCCTGAATGTGGCAAGAGGATGAGATTCAAACCTTGTGGCTGTCAGTGAGACAGACGGGAGCTATAATGCTTGCTCTGCAGTTGGCAAGGGTTAGTCCCAAGGGCAAGAAATTACAGCACTGGCAAAGCAGGGTTGTCTAAAGTACCCAAGGCTTTTCCTCATGGAGCTGTTCACTTCCTGTGTTATCTTTCAGGACCCCGTCAAAGACGGTGAAACAAAAATCAAGGCGGACTATGCTCAGCTGTTTGAGGATATGCAGAATGCGTTTCGCAGTCTGGAAGACTAGACTTGACCTCTGTGACCACTCCAGTTTGTCCTCTCAATTCCTCATCTCAGCTCCTCTGCTTCCCTACCTTACAAGAATGATGCAACAGTACTTGAGTTGATAAATAGCCCTATGTTTTCCCTGTTCATACTCAGAGAGTGTCCTTACAAAACATTCCTCCTAATTTGTGTTTGGCATTGCTTTGTGTGTCTGAAATGGTGAGTGTTGTGTGAATGGGCCTGGCTGAGTGAAGAAATGCTGTTGTACGCTTCTAGGGTGGGAAGAATTTCACTTTGCCTCTCCCAGCTCTCTTGGTAACTGGTCTTTCACCTTGTGATGTATCCAGCTGAGCTGTACTGGCAGAGGAGGTATACATCTTAATGCAGTCACGCGGTACGTTCTGAGCTGGCAGGGGTAAGGGCATTTACATCTGGTGCTTTGCTGACTATCACGACGTAGAACTCCCTATTCTCAAAGAGGTTTTGACCGTGTTCTGCTGATACATTGATACAACCAGAAGTTCTTCACTACTCTTTCCCTTCTGCAGCCCTCAGCCGAGTCAGTTGGTGTTTAAACGTGGTAGTTCTACATCTCTCCAAGAAGTGACTGTCTAGAAGATGAGCACGTACAAGTGACCAGTGTACTTCCATACCCTGGAGAAATAGAGTTTTATCTTCCTACTTAATACAGATAGGACTGCTGGGCTCTGCATCAGCTAAAATCAAAGCCATAGGTGCTCAGCTTCCAAAAGAATTTGACCTTCTTGCCTCCCACTCACCCCGTAAGATTTCATGACACTCAGCTGCTTTAGTTAGTGAAGCTTGTGACTGCTGCCATGTGCTGCAGGATGTAGATGGTAAATTTGGAGATGCCATGCATGTGGACCAGGCAGGCAGTCCTTCCTTGGTGGTGCTCTGCCTCCCAGTGCAATGCCCAGATGGTGCTAAGGAAGGGAAAGCGTGTGCCCAGCCTTCCTCCTCCACCTGTGCTCACGTGGCCGGTTTGGTGGTGGCACAGAAGGTCCCTGGTTCTCATGTAAGAGGAATGTATGATGCTAAACTGGGGGCGGGGGATGATCAGGGGGAAGGCTGGAAAGTGCAAAATGTAATTACTCCTGCCGCGTTGATGGCAATGCAAGAGAAACCAGTGACTCTGGCCTTGTGCTCTGGAAGCACTCTTGTCAAGCAGCTGAAACCGCTGCTTCTTGGGCTTGCTGACTGGCAAAACTAGTAAGAGGTGGGGAATGAACATAGGGCAGCCTTTCTGTCACACTCCAGGGGCCCACTGCTGTGGAGACAGAAATGCCTGCATCCTCTCCAGTCCCTGCCTCACTTGTGTCGGGTGGCATCCAGTGCTGTTTGCCTGCACCCAGCTGGCTTCCAGATAATGTTTTTTACTGCTTTATGTCACCAAGCAGTACCCAGTGTTGGTGACACCATGCGGGTGGCATCGCTGCGCATGAATTCTGCGCTGAGGTATTGCTGCCAGCTCTGAACAGTAGTGACGCAAAGGGATCTTGCACTACGGACCAAATGCTGCCACTTCCATTACAGTATCAACTTGCTGTTTGTTGCGGGAGAGCCAGGCTGAAAGTTAAAGGGATTAACTACTTCTGGTCCTCCCAAAAGCACGTATTCCTCCAGCCGATATCCTGGTAGCGAATGGTTAAGTTTACAGCTCACTGAACTTCTGGTGTATGCTGCTTATTTTACCAATGAGCATGTGTGAATGAGTAGTCACTGTCCAAGCCCTTGCTGGATTCCTCATTGTTTGTACCCCTCACCACTGTACTATGTAGCATTTCATGCTAGAAACCAGATGTTATCTCTTTAAATAGAGGATGTTAAAAACTTTACAGAAGATGTCTATGATAATGCAGTTCTAATATTTATTGTGCTGTACCTGGCCCTGAAGTGTGACCAGTTCAAACAGTTTCATATATATTTTTGTCTTTTTTGGTTTGTGTCTGTTTTCAGTGTTGAGATTCTGATGTTCACTGTGTCCTGTAGGTCCTCCCTCCACAGCTGTGGGAGGAACTAAAAGATGGGCAGAACCCCACCACCTACTTTATCTTGTATATTTCATAATGTATGTTGCAGGAAATTGTGTAAAAAAGAAAAGTAAAAAAAAAAAATACGTTGAAGTCAATGAAAATAAAATTGATTTAAAGTAGGTTTTGTCTGTCCTCTTTTATTACATCAAACCAGCCCTGTGCCCCTGTGGTATACACAGCATACTATCAGGACAGCTCACAGCTTGCTTAAAGCCTTACTACTTCATTTTAGGCATTTCTTTAAAGTATTTCTCTGCTCTGGAATATACCTCCTGAAATCTCTAAATATGAATGTTGGACAAAGTGACTGGGACCTCTGGATGGGAAGATCACTGTGGCATTGCTGGCCAAAGCCCAGAAGTTAGCATTCCTTTTCAATAAGGTGTTGAAACCCACCTGTAAATAGCAGCACACAAAACAATGTATTGAGGCATTGTTGTACCTGTTTGGACCAGTGTGTAACACCTCTTTGATGGAAGTGTTTTGCTATTTTTATATACATATTAGAGATACAGCAAGCTTGATCAGAGCAGATATGCAAGTAATTCCACTGTCTCACAAAGGGGTGGAGGTGACAAGCTCAGCCCTGGCAACTGCAGCCTGGCAGTTCTCTGTGGATAGTAAGAAATCCAATGAGAGAAGCAAGCAGTTCAGGTTTTGGCAGTGTGGAAGTTCCCAACCGGCAGTGTCTTCACTTCATCCACGCGACTTTTGTGGATCTGGAAGGCAGGTGTCACCCAGCGGCCACAGGAACACTGCTCACCCCGCCAGCTGAAGGAGCCCAGCTTCGACGTGCATTTGGGACACAGCAGCTGCAAGAAGAAAGCATGACCCAGTCTAAGGCACGTGCAGATGGAGAGCTACTTCAGTGTACTTCTATGGCACAGTCATTGTGACAACCTCTGCAGAGCCAGGTCCTTCCCTTTAACACTTCAGAAAAGGTAAATGGGGTGAAAAACTGACAAAAAAAGCTAACCTGGCAGGGCTGTTTAGCCCTAGGCTATAGCAGGCAGCTCTGCTGGCAGAAGGGAGGGTGTGGAAATGCAGCTACTTGGACCTGGTGTGGTTCCAGGACAGTTCTGCCAGTCTCCAGAGAGCCTCAAGTCAGTGCAAGACCACAGCAGATTTAAGTACCACAAGCTGTCTTCTTACACTAAAACCAAACAGCAGATAAACCCTGCCCAACACCCTGGGTAGTGGTCTCGGCCCAACACAACCAACAGCTCCTTTCCTTGTAAAAGCATATGTAAGAATCTATTCACTAGCTGGAAAATTCATGCCAGAAAGGCTGGTAGACCTAGGTCCTGGTGTGGGGGCTTCTGCATCAGGAAACAGAAACAATTTGTTCTGCCTCTTAGAAAGAGTAAAATCCAAGACTAAAGCGCATGCTGCCCATCACCTGTCCTTCCATTACTCCAAGCAATGCTGGCTCCATCCATTGCACAGGCTCGGTGAAGTAGGAGGTACACTTCTCACGGGTGTCACCACAAAGCTGAGCAGAGTCCATTATCCTCTTGTGGGCAAAGGCTGTCGGGCCACTTCCTTCTGTGTGGGACAGGATGCTGGAACTACGGAACAGAGCACGCCTGCACACGGCGACACAGAGGGGAAAAAGAAGTAAAGTAATTGGGTTTTTACTAGGGAAACTATAGACAACAGGAAATAAGGATGAGGACCTCCTGCCAGTAAATAAACACGACTGCAAACCCTATGGTTTGGGGTTGTTTTCGTCTAGTCTAGAAGGCACTGATTTCTCTCTTGACACATCTAGTGATTGGTGTAGCTTTGGGCTCTGCCCCACTTCTATGCTTTTATCTAGACCTGTTTTCAAATAATTCCTGCCTACAAAAACTTCATATGTTTGAAGAAACCTACACCTAGGAAACAGCAGGATTATTCAGTTTCACTTAAAGCAAGCCATAAAAGGTAGTTAAAATGCAGTAAATCTACACATTTACAGGAAGTTTCTTCTGGAGAAACTGTCAAAAACAAACTAGAAGTTATGGTCTCAGAGCAAGCGGCTTAGAGCCAAGTGGGATTATGCTGGTCCATAGGAGGCAGCAAATCAGGCTGCACAAGTGGCACACAACCCCAAGGAACAAGAAATTCTATTCCATAAGATTTGTCTGATTTTGGAGGCACACACGGCATGGAACCTTGGGCAAGAGCTCATCCCTGTCCTATCAATGACAGTGCTTTACACAGACTATTTTTCTTTTGAGTCCTTTACAAAATTACATCTTATGGAGAAACAGAGAAAGTTCAGTACCTGCATTTCCTGCACCTGTAGAGAACCTCTGTGTTTGGAGTCTGACATACACTGGTTGGATCAACAGCAAAGACCTCTCGGGGCAAGTCTTGAAGTTCTGCAGAGGTGTCAGTACCAAGTTGTGAATCAGAGGGATGCAGCTGTGCTGCATGTGGGACAGGACAGCGCTACACCTCTGCCCCAGCATGCACAACTCACCTTCATCACATCCATTTGTCCACACACCAAGTTCATTAGATAAGGCAAAAATGAAGGAGCCTTGCTCCACCACACCTAAGACTGGGATTCACTTAATACAAGGAACCAGGATCTAGACTTCAGCCTTAACAAGGGTGAAATAGTTGCATTTTGCTTTATGTTCTTACTTAGAAAGTAAAGGCAGAGAAGGAGTTAGAACAGTTCTGCCAGTCTTTCAGTGCACACAAGTCAGCTCACGAACAGGGCCTGCTAAGGAGAATGACACATAAGGGGAGACAGCACTGTCATGCTGAATATGCAACACTCGGATCCTGCAAAAAAGCTATGGATTATGATTGTTCTATAAGATTACACATCTGCACACATTTCTACTGCAGTCACCCCTGGCAAATCAAAGTATACAAGTTTGCTTCATATCTTGATTTTTGAGCTCTATCTCAGTTCTGCATTTGCCAGTTTTGTTATTCTTGACTTCTTTTTAGAGGATGTTCACTTTGATCAGCCAGGTACATAAAAATCAGGAAACAAATCAAACTGACCGTTATCATTTCTGCATTTTGCTGAAGAGAGCGGTTCCTTACAGACCTCTTTTCTCAGGCATCTCTCAGAGACACATTTTTCCCCACTGATGAGCGGGAATCCTTTAGGGCCAGCACAATGTGACTGTTTGCCGAGCCAACCCAATTGCTTTGAGCACAACGCTCCAAGTCAACCACCTCCGACACGGCCTTCTGTGCTCCCTTTAGGGCGGACTTGGTCCCACAGGGGCCACCCTCCCCGGGACACTGCCCGAAGCCTCCCTCCACGCACCCGCCAGAGCCCAAGGCCGACTCCCGCCGAGGCGCACCTCGGCCCCGCCGCTCACCGGGGTACCTCTCCGTGAGCATCTGCAGCCGGTACCGCTTGTAGAGGGCGCTGCTGGTGTCCACGGCGCAGCCCATGGCCTCGTAGAGCTTCAGCTGCGCCTGGAAACCCGGGTTCATCCTGCGGCGGGGCGAGAGGAGAGCGGGCTGAGGGGACAGCGAGCGGCCGGGGAGCGGCGGGGGGCGGCCGGGGAGCGGGGACAAGAGACCCACTCGGCGTCGGGTTTGGCGGCCCTGATGGCGGCGTAGGCCTCTTCCCAGCCGAGTCCCTGTGTCTTCATGAGGTAGGCGGTCACCACGGCCACGCTGCGGCTCACCCCGGCCTGGCTGCAAGGACGGGACGGGACAGGACAGGTCGGGCTGTGAGGAGCGCCGCACGGAGGGAAGGGAAGCGACCGGTCCCCCACCGCCGCGGCGCTCACCAGCGGACGAGGGCAGCGCCGCCACCCGCCCGTGCGGCGCCGATGAAGGCGGCGCTGTCATCCAGGCGGCTCAGCAGGTCGGCGTAGGGCTCGTCCAGCGCCCGTACGTGCATGGCCCGTACCCCCGGCACGGCCGGCGGCTCCTCCGCGTCCACCGTCAGCACCGCCACCACCCCCGCCGCCGCCAACGACTCTGGGGACGAGCACGACCCCGCGCCGCCCACGTAGAGCCCCGGCAACACCGGCACCATCCCGGCGGCCGGGCACGCCATGGCGCCGGGCACGCAGCGAAGGGGCAGGGCGCCGCGCATGGCGCCTGCAGAGGGCCCTGTGGCGGGGCCCGCGTTGCCGGCAGGGGGCAGCCGGGAGCCGCTGGTGGCGGTGCTCGGGGGGTGCTGCCCCGCCGGGGTGGGGATGGGCCCCCGAACCATCAGCGGGAGCCGTCAGGACACCGCTTTAGTTATCCCTCAGCGGTATTTAAGGAATGGCCATAATAACCCTCACACATCTGCGGGTGCCGGTGCAGCTTTCTCCTCCCGGTGTCTGTAAGTGTGTGTCTTCACCTCATCCTTTGGAAAACCAAAGGGTTTCCCGCCTGCCCTGTCCTGTCTCCTTACACATGCTCACAAAACAAATACCATTAAAGAATGAGACCGCACTTGCAGCACTGTGTGCAGTTTTGGTGTCCTCAACATCAAAAGGACATGGAGCTGTTGGAACAAGTCCAGAGGAGGCCACGAGGATGATCAGGGGACTGGAGCACCTCCTGTATGAAGACAGGCTGAGGAAGTTGGGGCTGTTCAGTCTGGAGAAGAGAAGGCTGCGTGGAGACCTCATAGCAGCCTTCCAGTACCTGAAGGGGGCTTATAGGGATGCTGGGAAGGGACTCTTCATTAGGGACTGTAGTGACATGACAAGGGGTAATGGGTTCAAACTTAAACAGGGGAAGTTCAGGTTAGATATAAGGAAGTTCTTCACTGTGAGGGTGCTGAGGTGCTGGCACAGGCTGCCCAGAGAAGCTGTGGCTGCCCCATCCCTGGCAGTGTTCAAGGCCAGGTTGGACAGAGCCTTGGGTGAGATGGTTTAGTGGGAGGTGTCCCTGCCCATGGCAAGGGGGGGTGGGGTGGAACTGGATGATCTTAAGGTCTTTTCTAACCCTAACTACTCTGTGATTCTATGAAAGCAGAAAGGAGAAGAGAGGAGAGGGAAGGGGAAGGGAAGAAAGGGAAGGAGAGAAGAGGAGAGGGAAATGGGAAAAGGAAAGACTCCTTTCTGGAGTCCAAAGCCTATTTTATAGTGTCCAAAGCCTCCTTTCAAAGCCTCCTTCTGACTATCCGAAGTCTTAGGTTTTGCTTCATAAGCCTAATTTTTGGCTTCGAAGCCTCATTTGCAGGGTCCAAAGGCTCAGGTTCAGTTTACAAAGTCTCCTTTTCAGATTCCAGGGTTTCTTTTTTTTTTAGGATCCAGCCAGCCATTTTCTAGATTCAACCAGCATCTTGAGTGTCCAAACCCTCATTTGGAGGGTCCAAACCCCTCTTGTAGGGCTCAAAGCCCCAGTTTATGTCCCAAAGCCTCATTTTTAGGGTCCAAAGCTCAGATTCTGCTGTTGAAAGACTCCTTTTGGGGCTCCAAACCCTCATTTTAGGGTACAAACTATCCTGGTTTCGGCTGGGATAGAGTTAATTCTCTTCCTAGTAGCTGGTACAGTCTGAACCTGACTCCCTTTAGATCACCACAGTAACAAAGAACCAACTTTGATACCACCAGCTAAGTGCAGTGGTGATGGAATCTGGAACTGGCCTCAGTGTGCAGCAATCCCACAGCACATACCAGCCATCTCTCCTGCCCAGTGAGACTTCAGTGACAGAGAGAGCCACGAGTTGTGCACCAAATGAACTCAACCAGCTTCCATAGGGATGCTCCACAGGCTAAGGGAATGGTACCTCTCTGTATGTGCATAAGTATATATGTATATATATATATGTGTGTGTATCTCTATCAAAAGGCAGGGAAGGTGATGGTGGGAAGTGTGAGACCTGGCATGACATGAAAGGGGTGGATACTGTCCTGGTTTTTGGCTGGGACAGAATTAATTCTCTTCCCAGCAGCTGGTGCAGTGCTGTGTTCTGGCTTTATTCTGGGAATAACACTGATAACACACCAATGTTTTAGTTGTTGCTCAGTATTGCTTACCCTGCTCAAGGACTTTTCAGTCTCTCATGCTCTGCCAGTGAGGAGGGGCACAAGAAGCTGGGAGGAAGCAAAGCCAGAACACCTGACCCAAACTAGCCAAACGGGTATTCCATACCACAGCACGTCATGCCCAGGATAGAAACTGGGGACAGTTACCCAGAAGGCTCAGATCACTGCTCAGGTCAGACTGGGTATCAGTCAGCGGGTGTTGAGCACCTGTATTGTGCATCACTGCTAGTTAGTGTTCTTTTCCCCTGCCTAGACTTATGCTCTGTCCCCTTTAAACCACGACAGTTCTACAGATGTTGCTCCATCTTATCTTGCTGCTCCAGGTTTGCTTTTCAACTTCTTTTCATGATTTTGCTCACGGCTGGCCCCAGAGCGCTATTGGGTCTGGCCACAGGACCGCGTGTTGAGCCGCCAGGGTTTGTGTTAATAGTGCACAATGTAGGGAATGCAGAAGTCTTGTTTAGACTGAAATAAGAGGAAGCACTTGATGCGATGGAGCCATCCCTTTATTGCGGGATGAAGGATGCTGCGAGCGCGCGAGGTGCTGGACAGCACAGCGTGGCTGCTGCTGGGCATAGCGGTTGGTCTCCCAGCGAGGCTGACTCTGCAGGTCCCTCAAAGGGCGCCGAGCAGCGTTACTCAGGACCAGCCCCCGAGGCCAGGACGGGGAAGGCTGGACAGAGCCATCCGCGGAGGAGGGCTGGGGGGACACGACACAGCTGTTTGCCCGCGATGAATAACAGCGGCGGGTGGGGAGCGGGAGGGACGGGGTCCCGGGCCGCCGGGCACCGCCGGGAAGCGGCGAGGCCGCAGGGTAAAGGGATCAAGGGAGAAACAGGCTCCTCTCGGAGGGCTCGGACCGGGAGCGCCGCTGTTCGTCATCGGGGATGCTGCTGTAGGGAGGGGGTCGCACGGGCCCGTTCTTGGGGCTGGGTGGGACCACCTCCGCCGTTCCACGGACTCCCCCGGCCGCTCCGTCCGGTGGCAGCGGACGCCCGGGGAGCGCGGGGGCACAGCCGTTGACAGCGGGGCCGCGGCCGACGGCAGCAGCACCAGGGGCGGCGGCGGCACCTCTCGGCGGCCCGGAGCCTTCCCCCAGCGATACTGCCCCCGCCTCCCCCCAGCCCCCGAGGCCTCTTTCCGGCCGCCCAGCCGGGCCCCCCGCGCCGCTCCGCTTGCCCAGGTTGAGCTGTGACCCCTCGCATGCTCCACCTCCGGAGCAAAGGCGCTGAGGAAGAGCAGCCCGTGAGGGACCTCCGTGAGCCGGCTGGGCAGAGGCTGGTCCCCCACCGGCCACCGGCACGATGCTGCCACCATCACAAAGCTGTGGCGGTTGCAGTGGAGAAGCCCATTGTGACGGGGCCACCACGGTGACCGTGGGGTATTTCAGGAGCGAGAGCCCTGGAGTGACCAGTGCAGAGGAGACCCCTCCCTCGGGAGGCTGTATCTCCCCTGGGTGCCCTATGGATCAAGGTACGTGTTGTGCTGAGAAGGGAGAAGAACAGCTCCTCTATTCCATTCAGCCATACAGAGATGTCTTTGCTGTTCCTAACAGTCATTTGAGGTTTGAATTGTTGAGGCATTTTCTTCTTAGCATCAGGTTCTGGACGTTCGCAGTTTGGGAGCTGGTTTCTGGTTAAGCAAAGAGTGCTATCCAAGGAGGATTTCTAGAGAGTTTTCTATGAAGTTATAGACAGGTAATTAAGTGGGGATATCCATGGTCCTGGCACTGTTTCAGAGGCACCTTGTGTAAAATAAGCCAAGCTCCTGGGTTCTGTCCTAACACATGAGGCTTAGGAGCAGGGTCTGGACATTTGCACTTCAGGTGCCTGTGTCTTGGTCACCGGAGAGTGGTGTCCAGTGAGGCTTTAGAGAGATGGAGTTTTAGGTGTGTAAGTAAGGGAGAATATCCATGTTGGAGGCACTATTCCAAGAGCAACCTGTGTAGAACGTGCCCAGCTCCTGGTTTCTCTCCTAACTCATTAGTCTTAGGAGTAGGGTCTGCACATTTGCACGCAGAGAGCTGGTGTCTCGGTCACCAGAGTCGTGTCCAGTGAGGCTATACAGGGATGGAGTTTTAGGTGGGCAAATAAGTGAGGATATCCATGTTGGAAGCACTCTTCTGGAAAGACCCATATGTAGGATATGCCCAGCTCCTGGTTTCTGTCCTAGCAAATTGGGCTTAGGAGCAGGGTCTGGACACTAGGAGCTGGTATCTCAGTCACTGGTTGGTGGTGTCCAGTGATGCTTTAGAGGGATGGAGTTTGAGGTGGGTAAGTAAGTGAGGATACCCATGTTGGAGGCACTGTTCTGGCGGGCTCCCTGCATAGAATGTGTCCAGCTACTTTTTTCTGTCCTAGCACATTAGGCTTAGGATCAGGGTCTGGACACTGGCACTTAGGGAGCTGGTGTCTCGGTCACCCAATAGTGGTGTCTACTCAGGCTTGACAGAGATCGAGAGTGAGTTGGGTAAATAAGTGAGGATACAGATGTCGGTACCGCTGTTCTGGAGGGATCCCTCTGTAGAATATGCCCAGCTATATCTTTCTGTTCTAACTCATTAGGCTTAGGAGTAGGGTCTGGACACCGGCGCTTAGGGAGCTCGTGTCTCAGGCACTGGAGAGTGGTGTCCGGTGAGGCTTTACGGAGACGGAGATTTAGGTGGGTAAGTAAGTGAGGATATCCATGTTGGTGGCACTGTTCCTGAGGGCTCCCTGTGAAGGACATGTCCAGCTCCTGGTTTCTGTCCTAAGTCATTAGGCTCAGAAGCAGGCTCTGGACATTTGCCCTTAGGGAGCTGGTGTCTCTGTCACCAGAGAGTGGTGTCCAGTGAGGCTTTAGAGAGACGGAGTTTTACATGTGTAAGTAAGTGAGAATATCCATGTTGGAGGGGCTGTTCTGGAAGGCAAGGCACCATATGTTGGACATACTCAGCTCGTAGTTTCTGTTCTAAGACATTAATTAGGCTTAGGAGCAGGGTTTGGACATAGGCACTTACGGAGTGGTGTCTCGGTCACCAGATACTGGCGTCCAATAATGCTTTACAGAGATTGAGGTTTAGGTGTGTAAGTAAGTGAGGATATCCATCTCTCAAAGGCCGGGGCGAGGGTGCAGGCACCA